ACCCCTTCCCTTCAGCGTGTACGTCAACAAACTTTCCCCTGCTTTTTTCTATTACTAATTAAACACTATTTTATATATGTTTTGGCTAGTTCCTAAATATTTCAGAAAACTGACATGAAAAGTTTTCTGAAATATTTATTTGATTATAGATGTGTTTTCTTCTGAAACTTTCTGACGAATTTTGCCTGACACAGTAATTCTAATAGAATTCACACAGAGGGCCTGTGGTGACAGGGGTCCAAGGCAGAGTGGTAGGTGGCATGTCACAGTTTGTTACTGCGTTCTCCATTAAGTTTTCTGGTTCCAGTGCCTATGGAACATAGAATTACATGTAGAAAGTCTTGGAGGGAGTTTTCAAGTCCGAAAGAAATAACGCCAATATTTCATATTCATTTCCAGAGGGATCCATTTGGGATAGTTGGCATGTAATTAAATTAGTGTAAGACCGAAGCATAGGACTTTGTAATTTTACCTTTGAATTTTCAGTCCTATCTATAGATTCTGAATTATAACATCTTAGATATATATTACCCTTTACATTATAATGTCAATGTCTCTTTCAGGTCTTACTGTTTGTAAAATATACTGCTTATTTGGTAAGTAGGGAAATGAGATTACAAAAGAGAACAGAAAACTGGCTCTATACTGCGTCTAAGATATTTCAATAAATTTAGGGAAAACAAAAAAATATATATTTTCTAACATTTACTATTATTCAGTCAGCATGTGATGGGAAGCACCATGCTTCCTGAACCATTTCAATCATGGTTTAAATGACCGTGGTTAGCCTAATGTTATTATTCTTTGTGATGATGCCACATGGAAGAGTGATGACACTGTTACTATATGTCATACCTGCGAGCAAGGCACTTCTGGAAACTGCATCATCTTAGTTATTCCTTGCTTTTACCAGCAGCATATTTTGAAAATTGAATTCTGAGAATTCCTACCGACTGTAGGAACAATTAGGAAAAAGGGATCTGAAAAGCGACCCAGTTCTGAGTGCTCTAAAACCATCAAAATGTTGTTCCCCTAAAGCGAGCCAATAAATCTCTTAGGACATTTTCAGGAGAACAAGAAATAAAGCAAGATTGGTGGAGAAAAGAATTACTTCCTTTAATGTGCGAATCAGCAATCTTCAAATAGTTCTAAAGATCGTAAAACGAGCTGTCTGCGTGATCGAGGGTAGATGAAGAGCTGCACTTTTCTTTAATGAGCCTGTACAAACTGTACATTAATTTCATTATAAGCTATTTAAGGAGTAATGCAGAACTGAAGACAAAGTGTTTCCATTCCGCTAATGAAAAAAAAAAAGCTGTTAGAATTAACATAAATCGGTACTTCAACAAATTCAACTATCATGGTTGATCAGTGTGGTTTGATGAGAGTTAGCTCAGCCTCATTTTCAAGTGAGGCTCCTTTGTGTTCATGAATACGCTTCGAAAGAAAAGATTTGTCCAACTTAAAATGAAAGGCATTAATAACAAAAACTTTTAAGTGGCATTCAGAGCGTTATAGCTAATCATATTTTCTAGTTCCTTACTTTCGTAACCTATTTCCAGCCATGTATTCAGTAACAACAGAACGTCTCGTGAAGGCATTCTTTTCTGCCTCTCTCCTCTGCCTCACTCCGTCTTTTGAATAACTCCTTCCAGATCACCTCTGTGTGCCCTGGATATTCCTCAGAGACTTCTGCAGGACTCAAAGCAAAAAATCTTTTCCTGGTAGTCATTGTTTCTGTTCTACTAAGTATTGATGCTTTCCCCTGCAGCTCTCAGGTAAAAGCAAGGAGATTCTTTAAAAGAAAAAAATTATCAGTTGGAGAAATTGGGTCATCTAGTAAGTGCTTTCAGAGAAACAAGGAACCTATCATTTTATATAACAGGTGATTAATAACTCATTACCTGCCTTTGAATAGAAGAATCATAATGCTCAATTTTACTAGCAGGACCTGTGAAGGCAGCAATGGATTAGTCCATCTGGTTCTGTCCTAATTTTGCTCTGACTAACCAAGGTCTACACTCCAACCTTGATTCTTATTTTCTAGGAATCCACCCCCAAAACTGATGCAGCCTGAGATATGGTCAGCAGAATTCAATGACTTCATTAGCAAGTGAGTAACAAGTAATAAGAGTCTTTTTTAAAAAAAATCGAAAAGATAACCATCCTAACTTTGAAATGTTCTTTTTACAACAATTCCTTGGTGCTTCTGAATCTCCTCCTTACCTCTTATCTATTAAATAGCCACTGAGGTTTCCATTATTTTCTTCAAAACAAGTATTTTTAGTGTCTTATGAATGCTCAGTGAATTCATTATTGCTCAAATATTGATCTTAGGGTCATGTTTATTCTCTTACTGATAGCGATGCTTCTGCAGAAGTTTCATTGTCCAGAAACATATTCTTCTGTCCACCTGCCTTTTGCAACTATGCCCTCAGCATCTCCCACCTGCTATTCATTTAACCCTTAACTTATCTGCATCATTAATTCTCATCCCAGTTAGGGAATAGTCACGGCAATTGGTCAATCAGATGATCCTATAGATAAATTACTTACACATTTGAAATTCAGTTAACATTTCTAATTTGACAGATAGTTAGCCCAAGTGCCTCCAGACAATTGACTCAAAGCTATGAATCAAAAGTCATTTCCATCCCACAGACTTTTTCACAATCTTTATTATGACTTTACCTTATAAAATAAGGTAAGGGATGATCCCAGGTTATAAGTGGGAGAGAGGGGTCATTAAGATTTAGTATGTCAAACTCCGCTCAGAAAATAAAGAAAGCAAAGAAAGCAGAGAAACCAATAATATTTGTACATAACTGATGTCATTGGTTTTCCTACCAAGATTATCTTCTTATTCTTATAAAGACAAGAGACTTAGATTTAAGGGTTGTGAAAACCCAAAAAAGATTGATAATCTTTTTTTTTCTTGACTTTCACTTAACCACTGAGTATGTACTAGAGAGTATTTAATAAACTACAATCAAATTTCATAAATCTCAGGAAATTCGTTGATGACTTTGAAGGGCTCCCACAATTCATAATTATGCCCCATGTCTGCAGATTCTTCCAAACTGATCCTCAGTGGAAACTGCTGACTTTGACATATTTCATACAATTTCATCTCTGAGGAATCTGCTGACATTGACATATTTCTCATAATTTCACCTCTGATTTTCTCCAGGCAGTTAGTAGTCTGTCCTGTGTTCTATCACTGTATTTTGTGTATCTTCCTCTAATATAATTGCCACTTTTATTTAGCTACCTTCTTAGAGGTCTTTCTCCCCAACTAGACAGTAAGCCATTCCAGGGCACTAAATGTGCCATATTCGTCACCGTAACTTCAGTGTCTTAGCAAAGTGCCTGGTACACGTCAGATATTTGATAAGGTCTTACTACAATAAAATAATTTCACATGTGACTAAATTGATGCAGATCTCAGAGATCGACACATTCTGTTAAACTAAATGGGAACCAAGATCTCTTGTTTTTATTTTCTGACATTGTCCACCTTATTCCCTAGTGCATTTTCCTGGGAAATATCTTTTTTGGTAAAGCCCAATAAAATAAGTTGCCAAATTACCACCCCAAGGAAGATTAACAGTAGAGATTAGAAATGACTCTACTCAAGTCAAGACATGGGTTTCTTCCTCTTTCTTTCTTTTTCTATATCCCCAAAAGGCAGCCCAGCTCTGACCAGTTTTCTCATAATCACAGCCCCTCAGAATCACAGAATCTCAGGTTTGGAAGGATATTAAAAATTTATATAGCCCAAACTCAAATCTAGAGTGTAAGGCCTTCTTGAACAAGTTCACTGAGTGGCCACGCAGCCAGTAAACTCCCCTAATAAAAATAATCATACTTCTCAACGCAGCCCGTTCCATCATCGGTAAACTTCACTGTTGGAAAGTTCTTTCTTATACTGACCTGAAATCTGTTTCTCTCTTAATTCCATGAATTGATCCTAGATTTTTTTGTTCTTTGTGACCACTGAAAACTGTCTAACCCTCTTCCACATATTTGAAGACAGCTGTCACAGCGGATGGAACATCCTAAATTTGTCCCAATGCTCCTCCTGTGATGTTGTTCCAGGTGCTGTCACTCCCCACCTCTTTTTTTGGGACTCTGCTCTGGTTGAACCTCTCAAGAAGTGTGACCTGCACTAGTACATCTACTGTCTGACCTCAAAAAACATCTACTGACGTGAAATTTAAACATCTTCAGCACGTTAGCCTTCTCAAATGGGTTAGCAGTTTGATCATGTAGAAAGAAATAGATCAATTGAGAAGCCTTTAAAAGCATTAGAAAAGGGAAACTGAAAGTTTTATTTTAATTTTAGGTAAACATTAAAACTGTAATGACTTCGTTGTTATTTATCTTTAGCTACTGACTTACAAAGGGGACTTTTCATTGGAGAGCAAGTTTAATTTTCACTGTGCAAAAATGCTTGCTGGGAGACCAGGGAAGTAGTACTTAGTAGGAAGTTGGTATCACTATTGCGTAATCACTCAGAGATGTGTGCACTGTCACAAACATTCTTTTGATCATCTTGCAGTTTAACACTTTTTGAGATATGTTTCCTGGGCTAAGCAATTATGAGAAACACTATTCTCTTCTGTCACAGTAGTTTTTAGGAATACAAATCATAATTCATCTAACTTATCTGATAATTGCATGTTCTTTTTTGCCAGTGCAGGTGCTTGACTAAAGATTATGAAAAGCGTCCAACAGTGTCAGATCTTCTACAGCATAAATTTATTACTCAAATTGCAGGCAAAGATGTGATGTTGCAAAAACAACTCATGGAGCTCATTGAAATTCATCAACACGTGGGAAGCACAGAAAAGGCCAGGTAATCAAATACTATCTTGACTCCAAGAGTTCCAAGATCATCTAAAGACTCTGAAAAATTTTATAATGCAATAGTTGTTAAGGTGAGAATAGAATTCATTTGTTTCCTGGTTGTGGTTTGGAGATAAGGAGGCATTTGTGTGAAAAGTGAATGTTACATGTTGAATTGCATCCCAATGTTGGTAAAATTAGCAGCAGCGTTTTTTAAACAGCTTTATCAGAACAAAGAATGTGAACTTCAAAAGATGGTTAGTATTGGTGTGTATTTCTTGTATTTTCTACTCCTCTGTAAAGTAAGATACCTCAAATTTAAAAATCAACATAAAACTTGAAATACTTTTTGACATTGTTATTTGTTGGTACCATTTTCCCTGGTTGGATTATATTCAAAAATCGTTTTTAATGTCTTTACACTTCCTATTTGGATTTTTAAGAATCTACTATGTATAGTTTTATAATATCGACTATATTTTTTGCTTATTATAGAGACGGTATATGTTTATTTTAGGAAATTTAGAAGATACGGAGAAGTGTACATCATAAAATCAATCAAGTATAACATTCTAATCTATAACCTTCTAGTATCTTATGAATGAAAATATATTTTAAAACAAAATTAGAATAATGTTTTTATATGTTCTGGAGCCTGCTTTCTTTCACTGAATAGTGAATATTCATGTCATTAAATATTTCTTCTACCACAAATTTTTAAATTGCTGCACAGCATTCTCTTGCGTGACTATTCAATGATTGGCTTAAATAATCCCCTATTATTAGACATTTTGTTTGTTACTAATCGTTTTTACTCTAATAAGTTACACTGTAATGAACAGAGCTGTACATGAATCTCTTACTATCTTTTTAAAGATAAATTCCTATAGATGGTACTGCCAAGTCAAAGAGTAGACTTGTAATTTAAATTCATTCTTGAGAATCCTATTAGTTTCATCTCAGGAACAGACTGCAACAGACTACGGAATTATTTAGGGAATTGGGAGAAGTGAGTAGAAAATAGGACATGATTTAAAAGGCATTTATATTTGAATTCCTGTTGTAGTTTTATATATTTAATTCCTTTTTTTTTTTTTGATCTACAAATATTTTCTCCTAGTATGTAGCTTATGTCTTCATTTTCTTAATGGTATCTTTTGATGCAAAAAAAATTTTAATTTTAGTGAAATGCAATTTATTTTTTTTTTAGTGTTAGTTACAAACTTTTTTTCCTATTACAGTTGATATTCAATATTAGTTTGTATTAATTTTAGGTGAACAGTATAGCGGTTAGACATTTATTTAATTTATGAAGTTATCTCCCAATTAGTCTAACTCTTATTTCTTTAATGCCTACTGTGTGCCAAACATTATATTAGGACTTTATTTATATTATCTCATGTGATTTTACAACAACCCTGTGGGAAATGTTTTATGATACCCCATTTTCACAGCTGAGAAGAACCAAGGTCTGCAGAAGCTAATTAACTTGTGGAAGCCTACACAGGTAGTAGATGATTTCGTAGGGATTCAAATCCTGATCCCAAAGCCCAAGCTTTATTCACCTGAGTGTAAATGGCCTAACGACTGTGAATGATCTTGGGAGATAATAGCCCTTGTCTATGCAGCCTTGCTAGGGAAACAGAACTAATATACCTGTAATGAAGAAAAATTACAGTTGTGAGTGAAACAGAGTATCAAAAAGAAGGAAGCAGGCATGGAGTTTATAACGAGGAAGCAGGCATGAGTTCATACCTGCCCATCTTTTTATCTTGGTGTGAGTATAATTCCATAGTCTGCTGCAATCCCGTCCTTCCCAAAGCAAACAGTCAACCAGCAAACAGAAATTGAGGTGTACCAACATTGTACAGGGTGTTCAATGTCAAGAACTATCAAGGATTTGAGATTTTACCCTACTTACAAGCTAGTAAGTTGACCTGCCAATTTCATTAAAGGCTAGCAGAAGATAGGAGACCTGTGAATCAGAGCAAAGGACTTAGTTAAGTCAGCAGCATGACTTTTTTCATGCTGGCTGCCTTTGCCCCACAAGTCCTAGGAGTAATATGTAATGGCCTAGGTAAATGCTGTATACACGATGGATTTGCTTCACAGTTTGTGAACTCTTAGCTTGAGAAACTAATCTTTTAAAGGTGTTGCTAACAAACTTGTCCAAATTTTTCACTGGAGCAGACATTATCTTTATTATCCTGGACAGCAAACAAAACGTATACCTGTCCTGGGGGGAGAATTTACCTTTAACTTCCAAGATTATTTGCTATACAGACATCCTTGGAAATATAATCTGGAACAAAAGGCAATACGAGACATGCAGAAATGTGAGAGACGCATGGAGAATTATCTCCCAGCACTCAAGCATCGTAAGAATGGTTGAACTACACAATATTTAGATTGTAAGCCTGGTGCTCTAAATTCTAGTGATAAAAAAATATTGAAAATTGCTATATATTGGGTGCTGTGTTAGGCTCCACACTTTTGTTTCTGAGTCACAAAATTTATTGTTTATCTAGTTAAGAATTCAGATATGCTTGCAATATGAGAACTCCTGTCTTACACAGTTATAGAAAGTTTTTGGTCATCTTTAAATATTGATCTTCTCTCATTCTTTTTATTACTTCTAAGAGATTAATATTAGAATGTCTTACTTTACCTTATATGTCTTATAATTTCTCTTTCATGATTGTCATCCATTTATCAATCTCTGTTGCATTTGGATGATTTCGTCAGAATTGTTTTCCACTTCACTAATTCTTTCTTACACTAGGCCTAGTCTAAATTCATTACATATACTGATTTCTCATGCTGATATTTCTATCAATATCTGTATTTTTTATTTCTAGCATTTCTCACTTTTATTTTTCAACCATTTATTGTTTATTCATACTGACTTTTTATACCTGGCTATTCATATATGGCTCATTTCTTTCTCTTTTTTGTGAATGTAATTCTTTCCTCTTTCTTAGACTATTTAACAGTCATTTTTTGATATGATATGCATTTCAGTAGAGGCGAATTGTCCTGGTTTGCGAGCTCATTTGCTTCCTTATTATTTGATTTCCTTCTGTGATTTAGAATTTTAGTTTATTCTTTCATCTTGAATGAGGTATTTTTTGTTTTGCTTTATTTTTTCTTTCTGCATTACTTTCTCCTGTTTTGAATGTTTTGCCTTTGCCTTTTGTGGCTTCAGGAGCCCTTTAGTCCAAAGCTTTAATACCTATCATTAGTTCAAGGATATTGCAGATCTTGTCACCAAGCTAATATGAAGTACTATGTCTCTGCTCCATCCTACAATTTCAGGCACCTGGCTCTGTGAAAGGGAGAAGATGCAGAATTTTTTTCAGTCTTCTCTCTTCTCAGCAAGAGATACCCTCCCCCAGCCCACACGCACACACAAACACACTTTTAGCTCCATTCTGTCCACTGAGCCTAGGTCAGGGCCTTCATTGTGAGTGGGGTGTTTTGGTTCCTTTACCTTCTAGACTTCTGCCTATTTCTATCATGGACCTGATCTGTTAGGTCCACCGTAATGCTCATCTTGTTTTAGAAAATGTCTTTGTCTTTTTAATTCTACTTAAAAATATTTTTTAAATATTTTATCTTTCACAATTGTATGGAGAGTATGGGAGAGGAGCTTAAATCATCAATCCACAGCACCCTTTTGAACACAGATCTTAGTCCAAAGTCATAGGAGGAGAGAAGATTTTACTGCTCTCAGCATTTTTATACTAGTTCCAAATTGTGAGACATACTTAGGTAAAAAAAAAAAAAAAAAAGTCTCTGGTGTGCCACTGCAACACCTTGGGCAAAAGTAGTTTCTCTTCAAGGTCATGTGAAATTATTTGATTTGTCACAGTTCTCAACACTGATAAAATTGATCTAAAATTTGACTGTGCTAAATCAACATAACTAACTCAAAGCTGAAGTTTTTTTGTACCCGATATTAATTTTTGGAATTGGATTGGCATATGTGCTTGGCAGGACAGTTTTTTTTTTTTTTTTAAATCACATTTCAGTTTTAAAGAAAACTGCCCTACTATAAATTCAATACAAACTGAGTACTTTAAATTTCCTGATGATGGGGAGGGGATAGTGTTAGAAGGCAATATGGAATGGATACAGAAACTTTCTATTTTAAGTTAAGGCCTATGAGTATAATGAGTCACTCATAACTTGGTCAACATATTCTGAGCAATCAAGATGCAGCAACCAATTCTGTGACATAGTCCTCAAGGATAGGAACGCATTTTTCACCAGAGTTAAAAGTGACAGTGTTGGAGTGCAGACTGAGTCTACGAGAAATCGGAATGATAAAATATTTTAAAAGAAAGGTTTAATTCCTCTGTTCAATATTTTAAAAGATTCACAGATTTAATGGGAACAGATAAAAGTCATTTGTAATCTAAGTGTATACCCTTCGGCCTCTTGACTAAAAACAATACAAGCCAATGTGAGAAGAAAAGCATCATAGTGAAAAATACTGGGTGGCCAAGAGGACTGAGAAGAAAGCAGAGAACCAGATGTCGGCATGAAGCGGAGGAAGCGGGGTGCCTCAAACATCCTTCCTCAAGAACTGCCTGTCGCTGCAGCACTTCCTGCAGCAACACTGTTTCTTGAATGCCACAAACACCCTTAAATATTGGTAAACTGACTTTGAGCTTCATGTCACTCCTTTGACAGTCAAGTTCCGTATAGGATCATCTGATTCCTCCCTCACTTGGTCCTGTCTCGCTTCTAGTTTCTAGGTCCTTTCTCTCAACCATCTTGGAACTTCCCCCACAGAGGAAGGGTATTTTGAGATGCTGAAACAATGAATAGCCATTAGGTGCAATATGCATCCAGATTCCTTAAATCCATTCTTTTATATATCTCAAACATTTACCTAAAAGTATTATTTAAGCTATGATTTGCATTCCTTGTAAATAAAGGGAGAACTTGGCTAGTATCTACTTGAATAACAAATTCCAAATTAAAATTTCTTTCTGTGGTAGTTGT